CATTAATCAACGTATTGTTGGATTAAACGATAAATATCCTTTGATCGTTTGCTCGACAGGAACGCGTAGGTTATCACGCGCTCATAATAAATAAGCCCGGTCTCGCATAATTTCGATAATAACACACGGCTGCAACGATAGTTTCTCTATTAATTTTATCGGGACGTTGGTTCCGCGTTATGCATACGTTAGTGTGTAAAGTAACTAGAAAGAGGCGGAGGCGGGGAAGATGGTGCAAGGGTAACTCATTTATCTTTCTTTCGACACGAGCAGCTTATATGCATATCTTGAAACGTCAAGTACGAAACGAAAGCGTTACACATTTGCATGCATTCGATTCTACGGCAGTGTATTAACGTTTCGTTAAATTCCCTCTGATATAACGAAAATGTGTAGAATATTTGTCGCCTGAGGGTTTCCTTTTTCAGACGACGAGAAAATAGAACGAAAATATAGAATAACGATTTTGTATTTATGGATTCGTTTTCGAGAAAATTGAGTTTGAAAATTCTTCGCGTAAGGGTGCACCAGACACGCCCTTACTCGATAGGAAGTCTCTCCCTTCAGCTGTTTCTCTCTCTTTCACCGCACACTTTCGCTACTTTCCGGTTTTTCCCTTTAAACACGGTCTCGTGCTTTGTCAAGGGCCTGATTCGTGTCTCTAACTTTCTCTTTCATTCCCTTCTTCCTGCGTCCCTTAAAATTTCGCAGGCAGAGGCGAACATTTTACGATACTACAAATACGAATAATCAACCTGGACAAATCACTCGCAATTAGTTCTTTCGACGTATCCACTATGTATTCAATTTATTTATCCGCTTGCTCGTCCATTTATTCGCAAAGAAACGAAGCCGCAGCGAAATCAAGGAACAAAAGCCACCCTAATCGTTATCCAAGTATTTTCGAAGCAACTTCGTCTTAAAGCCCTGTTCTTTTCACTCGGTGTGCATCGGCTCGTGAAGAATTCGCGTCGCTCCACTTTTCTTCTTTTCCCCTTTGGCCGATTAATCCACGGAAAAATAATACGACGCCGTTTTAAACAGTAGTATGTCAAGGGAAGAAGTCTCGGATGAAAAAAGGCGAGAAGTTTTTCTCTAGCGAAAGAATAAGCGGTGGAGGTGGGGACGGACGCGACGGTGTTGAATTAATTATAAGTTGGGCCGGGGCAAGTGGAATAACGCCGTATCTGATCAGACACACGGCTGCAAAGCCTCGTTCGGCCGTGCAAGTGGAATAAGTCCGCTCTGGTCGGGCGGACACGGGCGATAAAGTGGAAAAAGCGCGGTGGACGGACGGTAATAGAAGCGGGCTAACGATCGGATTAACATAAAAATCGTCATAATTTACGTATTAATCGCCGGGGGCGTAGGTTCGGGCGAATTGTTACAAAACACCTGGAACAGCTTTTTCCTTACGCAACGTAATTGGATAGCGCAAAACGAGTTAAACATACGAACAAGAAGTTTCTCTCGTTTTCAGTTTCTTTCTCGTTTTTCTTTAGATTTACGTTTTTCAAGCTTTCATTAACTTTATCGGCGACATTAGCGGCCGAGATGAATAGTTTTTTTCCCGTTCGCCGACTTGTATTCATACGACACGGCTTAAGAGCCGGCGTATTACGGATATTCAAACCCTGGGAATGCGAAATTACACGATCGCCGGCGTGTTTGCATGCTTACAGGGGCAAAGGGCCAAGTGCTCCCTCCATATTCCGCGAATGGGTCCTTTTTACTAAACGTTTCTTTTTTTTCTTTTTTTAATAAAAAGTTTCTCAGAGTTGAAGATTCTTTGCAGCGGGTTTCTCAGAGTTGAAGATTCTTTGCAGCGGAAAATCTGCATTTATTTTTTCAATACGCGACTCTTCGACCTAATTATCTTCTGGGCTAAAATCGACGTTAAAAATAACGATAATAATAACCATGATAACCGAAAAATCTCTCTCGAAGTCTCTCGAAAAATATAAACAAGCTTCGAAGCAACGAAAGATGAAAAAAAAGAAGATTCGTTACAATTTTCAATGTCGCGATATTTAGATTTGAAAAAGAAAATAAAAAAAACCCGGACACGCGCAATTTTTTTTTTATTTCCTTCTTTTTTCTCTCTCTATGCGAGAGAAGCTTTCACGGTTTAATAGCGAAAGTTATAGTCGTGCAAATCGACTGCGCTTTTGCCGACGCGATGACCTATCAAAATCAAAGCGACTGCAAATTAAACGATTAATCAACCAGCATTACTCAAACGGATTGAACCACCCGAAATGGGCTAAACTGTAATTTTAACGAAACCATTCGATCCCGATGGGAGAGAGCTCCCTTTCGAACGTGATACGCTTGTAAAATATTAATTTAGACCTAAGCACGGACCTTCTCAATGGATTAAAGTATTAAAAAGGAGCAGACGGTTTGAATGATTTATTTTTGGCCCATACGAGTAGCAGGTATATATACGTAGGCTCCGGCAGAGTGCATCGCCAGACTTCATGTTCGTTGAACTCTATTAACCACGAGATAGTGATCTCTCGTATATTTTCTGTCTATTAAACGGTTAGCTGCGTTGGATGAAAATATCCTTCCTTTTTTTGTTTTTTTTTTCAACGAGGGGAAAAATTCGCGTGACCGTAACAATATCAATACGGCTTCGTTACACGGCACAGGTATGTAAATAGAAAAGAGAATGATAAAAATAAAAAGTTTAATGCTGTAGATATTCTATAGCAGTAATGATAGCTATAATAATATCAATATGACTTTGGTACACGACACAAGCGTGTGAATAAAAGAGCGGTATTAAAACAGGAAAGTACAAATACTCTAGATACTTTGTTAATAGCGATAATAACAATAACAGTAGCAATATAACTTTTTTAGAGTAGAATTAAGAAAAGAATTACAAAATGTAACATTTTAGATTTTCTATAACAATGAAAAGAACGACAGTATTTCAGGTTAACTATTTACTTCAGAAATTGTTCTAAAAATTTTAATTTCAATTTAATCAATAGCCCAGCACAAGTGTGTGTATGTGACTAAAAAAGAATTAAAAAATGTAACACTTTAGATTCTCCGTAATAATGCAAAGAAAAACAGTATTTCAGGTTGACTATTTACCACACAAATTATTATCAAAAATTAATCATAATTTAATTACCCCGATTGTACAGCATTTCAAGTGTTCGCGAAATCGATTTCGAACAAAATACCCAGATGTTCGCTGTTCTGAGGCAAATAAAAATAATAATTGAGAAAAGGGGAGGAAAAAGGATATTAATGGAGGTAGATTTATATAAGTAGGAGAATATATGAAAAGAAACGAATTTCCGGCGGTGCACGTTTCAATACAACGTGAAAACTTTCCGAACAATACGAAACACGGATACACGGGAAACCGGCATGTAACCCGAACACGCGATCATCTATCAAGGTATCATGGAATCGTTAAATGCATTAGACCAATGAATTACTTTTTCATGTACAATATTCGTGAGCTGGTGTCATTAAAAACCGCTTCTCGTAGAGTTATCAATCTACGCACAGTTACGCTTATTTGGAACAAGTTATCTAGGGCATTTAATGTGTGGAAGGTGGAGAAAGAAGGTGACAAAGGAGAGAATGGAAGAATATTTAATGATACGAGATATGACATGAAAAAGGTATAGAAAAAGATTCGCGTCGTTAACCCTAGAAAGACCAAAGGAAGAGTCGAAAAAATTTCAAAAGAATTGCGAACTTTATTCTTTCTTAAATAACTCGTGAAAGCTATTCTTTTTTTTTTTTGTCAGAAAATAATATTGTATTTAACGACTGTAAAGTAAATGTAAATAAATTTTTGTTTTTTTAACTGAAACTAAATTAAACCTTCCAGCAGCTTGGACATCCTGAGTTGAATAATCAAGTAACAGAGTTTCCTGTATATCCTCTATTTTCGATTTACAGCGAAAATAACGTGAAATAAAATAGTACAGATGCGAAATCGATAAACGGGAAAGATTAAAACCGTGCATTTCGGAAGACCTTAAAATTCATTTGAACAAAGTGAAATAAAATGCTAAATTTTGTAGCGTTGAAATTCCCGATATAAAAAGAAAAGGAAAAAAAAAGCAAGTAAACGATATTAATTTCTAAATCCCAATATATTTCGTGAAAGAGAAAAAACTGAAAAATTCAACGGTGTTAATAAAATGCTGCGTGTAAAGCAAAAGAAAAATGGAAAAATGTATGCACTGGTAGATTCAGCAATGTTTAAAATCAAAAATTAAAATAGCACATACAAAAGGGAAATAGAATTGACGAACTACTAATTGCAATACATTTAACAATATTACCAAGGATTAAACTTACCAAATTAATAAATATTAATATTTTTATTAAGAAAAATATCTAAATGGGTAAACTATGAACTTCAGTAAATCGAATACTGTTACTAAGCGTTAAACTTACCAAATTAATAAATATTTTTGTTAAGAAAATATCTAAATGGATGAATTTCGATAAATTGAATAATGTTGGTGAGAATTACACCTACAAAATGAATAAATATAAATCTTTTTAATAAGAAAGAAATCTAAATGGGTAAACTATGAACTTCAATGAATCTGATAATACTACTAAAAGTTAAATATACAGAATAAATAAATATTTCTATCAAGAAAAACGTCTAAATGGGTAAACGATGATTTTCAACAGATCCAATAACGTTACTAAGAATCAAACTCGCAAAATCAATAAATATTTTCACTAAAAACAAAAATTTGTTAAGAATTCACAATAATAAAGCTCACGTTACACGTAGAAAGGGTTCTGAAAATTTCAGTACAATTTGTCGAGCAACAATATTCCGCGAAGGAACACGTGAAGAGAGAGAGGGCGGGAAAAAACGGGAGTTTGAAGATCATCGTTTGCTCAGGGGTAGGAGATGCGACAGGTATGACTGCGTAATTGCTTAAAGACTGCATAATTGAAAGGCAGGGCGGGACGGCGTGCGTTAATTGCATGAAACTCACCTCCATGTTTGCGCCGTCTACCTTCCATTTGAGGAACGGCGGTTTCCTATCACGTAGGTATTGTAATATCTTCTTGTCATCCTTCTTGAACTCGACTTTATGCAACAAATACTCTGGTATACTATGATTGCAATGCAGAGTGGCTGTGCTGCCGTATGTTACGTAGTACGGCGCTATCAGTCGTACATCCACGTTGGAAGTTGTTGCGTCTGTCGCTAAAATCACCAAAACGAGGATGTTTTATTTAACAGAGAAAACATTCTCAAGGGAACATTTACCGTAACACGCGTTAGACGCAGGCTGGGGCCATATTTTAAAATCTCACTCCTCGCAAAGGACGGTATAGAAAAAATAGCCTAGTTCGAGTTGCAACGTGAAACATTTAGCTTTGAATATTACATTTTCAAAGTGAAAATAAGAGACAGCTGAAAAACGCCAAATTTGTGAATTTGATTAAACGGAATATTACAGTATAAATTACAGTGGAAAAGTATAAACGCGGCCCTGCAAGAAGAAGAGAAGAGAGAAATGGGGAAATGGGCAGCTATATTCGGAATATTTTTGGCTGAAACATTCTTTTTATCAATTTTTATACCAATTAGGTCTTCCCATAAGTTCGTGTCGAATTTTATAATTTGGATGAATATTTCCGAGAAATTTTTGAATTTGATAAAAAAAGAAAATGTAAGCGCCTTGTAATTCTACAAATTTTCCTATTTATTTTTTTTTTTTTGGTAAGGCCATTATGTCGTCGCTGTAGAATTTCGTTGGAGTTTCATTAAAATATTTTTCGCTCTCGGCACGAACTTACGAGACGACCCAATACGAACTGTGTTTCGTTGAGATATACACTGTCGAATTTATGGAGTATTTTAAAACAGGTAAATATTGTTCCGTTCCGTTTTACGAGGATAATTAACATAATTCGTGTAATCCCGCTTTCCCACGATCCTTCCTCGGGGTAGAAAAACCCGCTCGTTTGTCATTTCCATCGTTGCGCATACATCATTTAATTTATAGACTGCGTTCACCGAGGGGTTAACATCATCGCCATATTCTTTCGTGAAGTAATTAACGCATCTTTCCGCCGTTCGTGTAATTTTCATTACGCGAAAATGTTGCCCTTCCTCTCGATTCTCTGGCATTTCCGTGCAGAATGTAAACCACGAAAATGTGACATATCGCCGAGAGAAAAAAAAAAAAAAAGAGAAAGAAAGGAGAGGCAGGGAAAATGTGAAATCTCAACTGACGGGTATTTAAAAGAAAATGCGAAACGCAAAGCGGAGATAACATCGCGGTGCATCGTGTTCAAAGGAGAGAAGGACGTATTTCTTTTTCGGATGGTAATGGCGACGCGCGTGGTTGGATAATGATCAATTTAACGAATCTCAGGTGACTCGTTGAACACGATCGAAAGTAACGCACACAGGCGTAACGGCACCGGAAATCGCGAAATGCTACGCAAGAGGAACTTGCCTCGTTACGGATTCAACAACAAAACACTTGGCCACGTTCACTTCGTAACTTCGTCAACGACAAAATCGTTAATTAATTTATGCCCGGAACAACGGGACTGTGGAAACTCTGATCGGTTTGATGACATGGAACTTTGAAACATCGTACACTCGGTTTGCATTCGGCAAAAACGAATTTTGTCTATCGATTTGCGCGTTTACTGGTGTAATAATTAATGGACGCTTCGTGAAAACTCGTATCATATCCAGGAATGACAAAAAGTGAGGTTAATCGAAAAATTGGAATAATACTCGACGATTGTAACAAACGATGCATATGTAAAAAGAGGATTGAAATGGATGATCTGCGGAGTCGATAGAAGTGTGTAATGGCTAATTCCTCTCCCTGTAGAGAAATCGTTATTATCGCTGTTATTTCCTTCGATTTCTCAATTTTCTGTGAATGTTGAGTTTTTTCAAAAAAAAAGGTAAGAAAAATATCGCAGAGTGAAACGATAATATGGGAAATAATATTCTCGCGTTAAATCGTGCAAATTGAAATTGAAGTGTTTTGAAAAACGAAACTCAAATACAACGGATTAAAATGGAAAAAATTAATATAATAATCGAAGTGCTATTAATAAAGTACTTCCGGGTAAAAAGAGCAACGTAAGTTTCCTTCGAGAAACGTGAAACGGTTGAGATATTAATTTCAAGTGGTGCAAAAATATTCATAGGAAATTTAACAGATTGAAAATTGTCTGGCATGAGTCATTTAACCATTATCTACCGTGAATAATCTAATAATTGAAAAAATTGGGATCACGTTCAGGAATAGATTCCTGGTAACGTTCTAACTGATCCAGCACGTATCACGTAGTGTGTAATTCCTAGAAAATTCAGACCTGAAATTACTCGAGCGTCGTCTATACTATCCAGATCCTGTCCCTTGTGATTTTGAATTATTTCTATGTGTCGTAAATCAGTTAAAAGAGCCGAGGCAAAATTGGAAACAGCTCGATGTAACTAACGTTCGTGTATATGTAACAAAATGTATAAAATATGATAGAAGATATTTAAAAAAATTATTACAGTATAATATAAAATATAACCTAAAATAAAGATAACACAAAAATTGTAATAAAAATAATATTGCGATAAACTACAAAATTTTTCGCTAACGAAATTAATCTAGTAACTTTGAACAAAATTTAACAGAAGAAAAGAGAATAACTTGGAAAGCAGAAAATCTTTCAACAAAATTACCGTGTTTTATCGATATCTGCTTAACTATCAAGTTTCAAGGATACGCTCATCAGACATTTCGCGTCCAGAAATTCACCCCTCAGACCAGCCCATAAATATATCTGTCCACGCGACACGGAACACCCTGTACGATCAAATTTACATGTTATCGCGTCAACGTTCGAGCTGTCGATTCGCGTAATATCCCGGGCAACAATTACCACCAGCAGCATCATCATCGAGCAACAATTAATAACCGGATGATCGATACAATTTAGCGTGACGGAAGGGAAGTGTCTATTAATTCGAGCGTTCCTCCGCGAAATCTAGGTCGTCGAAGGAGTTAACGTAACCATGTATACATATTCCTGTCAGCTATACCTACTTTATTCTTTTCCCCATCTCTAATTCGGTTACCCTCGATTCTGTTCGTGATTTTTCACATAAACAACAATCCTACGCGAGAAGAGGAAATATAGGGGTGGGGTGGAGTGAAAAAGAAACGAGAAGCCGTCAAAAATACGACGGGGCTAATGAAACCGCACAGAAGAATGGAGAGCTCTCGGTCGACTATAACTACTTGTGGCAGTACCCTGTTGCTGGGAGGTGTTACTGTATCGATCACTGAAAGCGCGTGTTACTAACACGCACGCAGGATATTCCAGGGGCTTTTCAAGACGTTCCGAAAAGCACCGCATACCCCGCGACAACGGAATAATCGTCGAGAAATTCGTTTCCTGGCTATTCCCTGTGTGCCGAAGCACAGCCAGGGCGTCGCGCCGCACACGCCTCAGATTTTAAATCGGTTTTTTCACTCGCGTCGGAACGTTTCCGAATGACGTTCGCCGCTCGAGAGCCTTTCGAAACGCCTTTGTATGCGTGAAAACGATAAAGGAGGAAGAAAAAGCGGGTAAATGGCTGGGACGGGAGAGCGTGTTTTGCGGCTGGTGTTCTCTCGTTGTGCATTTCGAAAATTCTATTTCGAGCTGGGTTGCTTTTGAATTGCCGTTGAAATCGAGAAAGCTTGGAAAATAGGGTTCGAACATGAATGGCTCCTTGTAATACATCTTTGGATGTGATGAAATGTAAATTGTAAATTGGAATGAAAATTTTTTCGTCGATGTTAATCGTGTACGTTCTGTAGGAATTGCACGTAGGCGTGAAACGATTGGACAGGATCGAACATATGCTGAGCGATTTGTGACGTTGCATATTCTTCGAATGTATCGAGTGTCTTTATGATTGGAAGAATATACAAATGTCGGGCGATTTCGACGTAGGTATTAGTGTAGTGAAATTTTGATATTATAAGCGGAATATTTTCCGACGATATGGTTATTTGGAAAATTGAAGGAAAAAGATGTGTGACATGTATACGCAAACGACGAGTAGTTTAAAAAAACCGCGAAAAATGTAAACACGTTCGTTCACTTAGTAATTAGTTCGAATACGTCTAATTAGAGGCGTTCCGTCAATTAACAACAAGCTTCTTCAGCAGAATTTATTTAACACGATTGCTAAACTGGCTTCTGATTAGCCTCTCTCTTATTTTGACAGTGTAAAGGTAGAAATATCTTTGAAATATAATTTCTACAAATGACACCGTATATCGTTATGTATTTCACTGAAACATTCGTTTATCCTTGTATATTCAACGAAACACTCTAGTCCATATAAGATAGCTGTCATTCAAATTCCGAATCGTAAAAAATTTCGTACAAGATACTTTTACAATGAAAACTATTGAACAAACTTGTCGAGATCGAACACGCTTTAGATAATCGAATCTCCTTTGCGTTCGTGTTACTATGACATTTAAAATTTCGATGGAAAAACAATTCGTTATTTCCACTGTTCGGGAACAGAATGAACTGGCCGGGTGGGTGTTTACGATTGCGTGCAACTTACATGAAAATAATTGTAAAATATATACGAATACGAATTTTCCCCAGTGTGTTGATTGACGCGGCATTGTCGTATGTATTCTCTCGCGTCGTTCCTATGCAAAAATGTTACTGTCTCTACGTTACTTAATACGAAAAAAACGTGCTTCTATTTTGTACAGTGGTGTGCCTTTAAACTACACAACTTCGAGCCGAGTCGGCGCTACAACTGAGCAAGCTTTTCGATCGTTCGACCAACTCCCATAGAATATAAAACATAGAACGGAGACTCGCTGTCTTTTCCCTTATCGAGCGATCTTCGGAGTTGGATTTGCTAATGGGTCTAGCATGAAATAAGCGATGTGAGATGGTAACCGAAATGAATAACACGTTGATATCTTTATGATAAGACGGGGAGAGGTGAATTTTAATTAACCCACAAGCTGTTAAGAAGATTTAAAATGAATTCATTAAAATGACTTTAACCCTTTGCGTAATATAACTGGATAAATTGTACATTTTTATTGATAAATTTTTTTTATACACTGCTTCATGTTTATAAAATAAGATATTTGTTTAAAAAAAAATTGTGAGGGAAACTGTAATGTTAGTATTTTCATATTTTATTCAAGTAATTAGTATTCTGTTTGGGATACACTTCTAAATATTAACAGATTAATAAAAATACTATAATAAACAACCATGTTGACGAAAGTAGTAATATTTTTTATTTCAATTGTTTAGTTCTATTCAAACTTTATTATTTCATTACTACTGTTTTGTATTAAAACTAAGAGTATTTTCTACATATTTTACTAATATATAGCTACAAATTATATGTAAAATGTAAGCTGTATTTGCAATGACATTCGGTTGCAATAAAATTTAGTATTTATTTACGTATGTGCATACTTGATCAGATAATACATTGTTGCTTGTTTTCAAATGAGATAAATTGGAAAAAAATGTTTCTAAATGAGCGACAAGTGTGATGTAAATATCATTCTTTTCACACATTGTAGGTATGAAGTATTCATGTTGCATATTCATGTCAACATTTTATGTGCTTGCTTCTTATATACTCCCGCAAGAACATTTAGAATGAAATACGTATGAGTTATACAGTTGAAGTTGAAACAAAATCAGAAATGGAAGGTCACGAGGAAGATGATTTAGAAGATTTAAATTCAACTGTGTACACATTTCCACCGAATGTACAAAATGTCATTGAACAGGTTAGGTTCACGATTAAACTGTCAAATATGCATACAACTGTCACTTATTCTCAACAAGTAGTTGATGCTTTCTCATAAGCTTTAGTATTTTTTTGATTTTTTATCCAATATTATATTTTATACATCTACTGATAGTGTAAAATATGGAGACAGTGTTTGCCACATCATATACTATTCAATATGAAAGATCTGTATGCTTTATTCGATATCAAAATTTATCAATATTTGTTCTAATGATTTTCAAATATTAAATAAATTATTTATAAGAAATCTTTTAATTGTTAGGTTTTACCTAGTACAGATCCATTGGACCAACTAAATTTCAATGTGGTGGATTATATAAATTCACTATTCCCAACAGAACAGTCTTTGTCAAGTATAGATGATGTAGTAAATAATATGGAATTAAAGATACGTACCATAGACAGAGAAATTCGTTCAGTGGTACGTGGACAAACAAATGTTGGTCAAGATGGGAGAGCAGCATTAGAAGATGCACAGAAAGTAATAAAACAGTTATTTGTGCATATAAAAGACATTAAAGATAAGGCAGAACGATCAGAAGATGTGGTTCAAGAAATAACAAGGGATATCAAAAGATATGATATTGCTAAAAGAAATCTAACAGCATCTATAACAGCTTTAAATCACTTGCATATGCTTGTTGAAGGAGTAGATACCTTAAAGTAATGTATTACAATTTTTATTAGTAAAAATACATGTAATTAATTTAAAAAAAATGTAATTTTGTAGTATTCCTTTAATAATTTTTTTAGGGTATTAACTCAGAAGAAACAATATGGTGAAATTATTTTACCATTGCAAGCTGTGATGGAAGTGATGCAACATTTTAATAGCTACATAGATATACCTCAAGTAAAACAGTTATCTGATGAAGTATGTAATGTTTAAGTTTTTGTAACAGTAGCAGTAGTCTATATTATTTTTTATTAACATATTGACTTAAAGGTACATCAGGTACATGTTGAATTGGCTCAACAAATTACAGCAGATTTTAAACTAGCATTTTCTGGACAAAATCCAAAATATTTTAATCAACTGACAGAAGGATGTTTAGTACTATCTGTGTTGGATCCCAAAGTTAAGTAAGTGTATTTATTGAAAGCATTCAAGTCATATTAGCATAACTGTAATGATTGTTTTTTTTATTACAAGGAAAGATCTACTCACCTGGTTTGTGGGTATTCAGTTACAAGAATATGCACATTTGTTTGATGAAAATCAAGATTTTGCATGGTTGGATAAAATAGATCGACGTTACGCGTGGATAAAGAAACACTTGCTTGATTTTGAATCGAAATTTGGTACAATCTTTCCACAAGATTGGGAGATCTCGGAACGAATTGCTGCACAATTTTGTCACGTTACGCGGGAAGATCTTACAAAATTAATGTATAAAAGACGTTCTGAAATAGACGTAAAATTATTACTTTATGCAATTCAAAGGACTAGTAATTTTGAATCATTATTGGCAAAACGATTTAGTGGTATTACTTTGGATAATGTAGAAACAACAAATAAAAAAAATGCTTCTAATACAGACACGACTGAGAATAAAGTTCCAGGCAACCCATTTGAAGAAAATCAGCAGGTATTATATTTTTAAAGATGTTTCATAAAAATACGTTAAATTCCATACTAAAGTGTTGTGTTTTGCATTAGGTACAAAAAGAAAAACCAAAACCATCACCATTTTCAAATCTAATAGGAAGATGTTTTGAACCATACTTAAGTGTTTATATAGAAAGTTTAGATCGCAATTTAGCAGACCTCATGGATAAATTTGTATCAGACTCTAAATCACAACCGCCTGGTGCTAAAGATTTTGAAGGCATCGAGGGTCCTAGTAGTGTTCTGTCGTCTTGCGCTGATCTGTTCGTATTTTATAAGAAATGCATGCTGCAATGTACTCAGCTTAGTACAGGCTCTATTATGTTGAGTTTAGCCGAAACTTTTCAAAAGTATCTGCGGGAATATGCTCTTAAAATATTACAAAATAATTTACCTAAGTAAGTCAATATATTACTTGTTATGAGTCATTAGAATTAAATTTTTAATAATTAGAATTTATTATAGAATTGGAGGTAGCGTAGGCATTGCCACAAGTATGAGTAGTATAACACGTGATTTTCGAGATCTTTCAACATCAGGATTTATACAAAATTTTCAAAGCTTTTTGAAGGAAGGCGAAAGTACTAGATTTAGCAAAGAAGAACAATCACGCATTTGCTGGTAAAGGTTTGCTAAATGATAAAATTCTTAATAATGTATTGTTTAAAAGAAAATAAATTACGAGATATTATATTTCAGTATATTAACAACAGCTGAATATTGCTTAGAAACGACACAACAACTGGAAGAAAAACTCCGAGAAAAAACAGATAAATGTTATGCTGATAAAATTAATTTGTCTCAGGAACAAGATATTTTTCACAAGTATGTACTTCATATTTTCGTAGAGTACAATTTATATTCATTGATAATATCAATATTCCTAATACTTGTTTTTTAGTGTTATATCAAACTGTATACAACTGCTTGTTCAAGATTTAGAATCTGCATGTGAATCTGCATTGACTGCAATGACAAAGGTATTTATTCAATTTGATGTTTATTATACGTAGTTTTTTAAATATTTGAAATGATTTTTTACCTTTACTGATATGTAACTTATTCTAGGTTCAGTGGAGTGCCATTGAGGTTGTTGGTGATCAAAGTAACTATGTTAATACTATTGTGGTACATCTTCGTCAAACAATACCTACTATCAGAGATAGATTGTCATCATGTAGAAAATATTTTACACAGCTGTGTGTAAAATTTGCAAGGTAATGAGTAAAAGAACGAATATGTTTTGTTTAATACTATCAAGGTAACTAATGGTTTTTTTTTATTTGTAGTTCTTTTATAATAAAATTAGTACAACAATTGTACAAATGTAAACCTTTAAATACTGTGGGTGCTGAACAATTATTGTTAGATGTACACATGTTGAAAACTGCTCTTTTAGACCTCCCATCAACAGGATATCAAGTTCAAAGAAAAGCACCAGCAACCTACACTAAAGTAATTTACCTAGATATATGCATTTGTAGATTAATTCCTATGCTAATACATATTTTTATTCATTATAAACAGGTAGTAGTAAAAGGAATGGCAAGTGCTGAAATGATTCTCAAAATTGTGATGTCGCCAATAGAATCTCCAAAAGACTTTGTAAAACAATGTAGAATACGTCTACCGGATTTACAAGCGCCAGAATTTCAAAAAATTTTAGATATGAAGGTAATCTAATTTCTATGAAAGATTTAAATTACTGCATTACTTATATTGAAATTATAATAATTTATAGGGCTTGAAGAAAACAGAACAAGTTTTACTACTAGAACAATTTAAGCAGCCTGAAAATACAGATACTTTACGTGATGCGAGGAGTCACGTTATCCAAGATAGTCCAGAACATGAAGCTGGACGAATAAAAAGATTGGAGAAATTAATTAAGAAAAGAATATGAACATTTTTCATAGCAAAATTTTCATTGTAATGTACATACTCAAGATAAATATAATTGTAACTATATAAAAATTAAATATTAAAATTACATACTTCTTTTACTTTAGTGCAATAAAGTAAGCACTGTTTTATATAATAAGACTTGTTATTACTGTTAATTTTGTAACACGAAGACAAACGTGATCAAAGGACGTGTACTATTTAGAACAACCCAGAAGCTTCGGTTTTATATTTTATTGTTGTGTGTAGTAAACAATAATCAGTTAACAGGACGATGTTAACCTTGCTTTTGTGCAAGTTCCTTTGCTTTAGCTTTTTCTAATTTAGCTATCCTAGCAGCTGATTTACTGCCCAAGAGACCACCGCCCCAATGACGTCGGATTTCGTCGTATCTATCATTAAAGTTCGTCTTGATAGCTTCAACAATCTTTGAGAAATTAGCTCTGTCACCAGAATCGACCTAAAATAAAAATAATGTATTATAGAAAGTGAACTAACATTGACAGAAATAGATATGATAGAAATGAAATTATCAGTTACATATTTAATAATATCATTAAAATTATCATTGGATTGGCTCTTTTGATGTTCATCATAATATATATTCTTTATTACATTTTATATACTCACATACTAACTTCAATGGAAAGAACTTACCTGAGTCAAAGCTAGTGTACTGCAAGTTTTACGCCTGACAAGAAGTCCCAAGCGTGCTTTACCTTTTACAATACAATAAGGTACACCCATTTTACGGCACAGAGCTGGTAGAAACAGAACAATCTATAATACAAAAAAAAAAAAAAAATGTATAAATAAACTGAAATAATAAAGTAATATCAGTGTGGATTAATGTTTATTTCACTCAGAGTCATGTGACATCCTCTGAATAAAATTGATTACATCAAAATATTCTCAGGTGAAGAAATTCTAACATCATTGTGGTAATTAATTAAGTATTGTGCTTAAGTATTTTGAAAAAAAAAAACAAATATTTACCTCTATTGGATCTACATCATGAGCAATCACCACAAGCTGAGCTTTCTTTTCTTCAACAAGTGTAGTTACAGTATTTGTTCCACTACGTATTACATTAGGTCTCTTTGTTGGGGTATCTTCTTTCTTTGCAATTTTTTGTTCAGCTCTGGTTTTTAGCCTCATCTTTTTTGTGGTAGCTGATTCAGGTCTGTATTTTTCCAACATTTTGAATAATTGTGTTGCTGTAATATAAAAGATTAATGGATCTCTGTGAATTACATTAATTTCTTTAGTTGTTTTCAGACAACTAAAATAAAATAAATATACCGGTTTGTTTGTCCAATGTTTGTGTGAACTGATTGATTGGTGGTGGTACCTTCAATCTCTTCTGCAACACAGCCCTTTGGCGTTGAATACGAATGTACTTGGGCCATTTTACAAAGCGACTAAGATCACGAGCAGGTTGAATATCCTGTCCTAAATACCAAGATTTTCTATTATTGTTAAAATAAATTAATTTTATCTGATAATTGAAATGTATATTTGGAATATTCTTTATACTTACCAATACCAAAGTTGCGAGTACGTTTTTCAAACAGGGGATTGGTTTGCTTCTTGGGTTCAACCTTCTTGACTGCCAGTGGCGCAGCCGCCACCTTCTTTCCTACCTTCTTCTTCGGCTAAATTTATATAAAAATGTACATATTAATACCTCTTATTTAGATTATGTTATTATACATTTGTTATCTTTGTATGAAAACAATACGTAAGCTGAAAGCATTGTGGTTAACCTCGTCGAATAAAACTTTACAAATTTAACAGACACAAAACATTTCTATTCCTTCTTTCCAATAAGTAATATTGTTTGCAATAACTTATAAACCGAATAAGTGTTCAAATACGATGATTAAATATATACAAAAGAAACATATTTATAACATCACGATGTATCCAAAACTTGCCGAATTCTAACCATCACGATTCTAGTAATAAATTGACTTTAATGGAAATATTACTCTTATTCGACAATTTAGCATGTTTACCTTTTTCTGGACCATTGTTTCAACGGAAAATCTAACGGATCCTTTATATCACACTGGATATAAAAGTTTGTACTTCGCTTAATACGACGCGAAGCACCGCCGTCGAGAACGTAAAGGAAGAATCATGCAGCAGCGCCATCAACAGCAACAGCGGCGCTGCTTGATAAATAACATTTTAAGGTAACTACTTCTAGAGAAGAAACATGACGATAATTTTTATTCTTTAGAGTCATCTATCGGAATATTTTTGTATAATCATTTCAAGTAGTTATTTAAATATGAAGATATATCAATGCAAAGTTTTACAATTGAAATTAATTATTCTACAAACATGTACATAAGCAAGTTAAAAATGCTCTTATTATATAGATTTACTACTGTCTCTTTTGTAATTGTAAATATATTTTAACGAAGCACAAGTAGAAAGCAAAATGTAGATAATTGTTTCATTTCTGAATATATTAAGATAATTTTGTGAATAAATATAACACGCAACAGTTTAAAATGAATTAATTCAACACAACCGTATTTGAATAAAACGCTGAAAATTTGGAACTAATTTAGATTAAAAAATCGTAATCAATGATAAAATTGAACGAATAACTTATTATCTCTCATAGTTTTATTTTTCTTATCAAAATAGTTTTGTGAATTTGAAAGACGCAGCAGAAAGTTAAATCGTTTGTAATGCGCATGTGCAAGCTAAAGAGCGACGAAATGTGGCAGCTGGCAGCAGCAGGGATCGCGCGTACAACCTATGCGCCTCCAGTTTAGACTATTTTCCGATGAGGGACGCGTAGCATGTGAGCTGTGTCAGTGTTCGTAACGTGTCGATGATACGTCTATGATACGTTTCTCTCATGAACGTTGATGTTTGGTATTCGAAAAACTTTCGTTTATTAGTGTGCTCGTGATAGTACGTGACTTGGGTGGTTAGTGATCCCGACTTATCGTGACATTTTCTTCCGTCCTTCTGTCGATTACAAGAAGCCTTACATTTTCTATTAGGGTGTACTTTTAGGACCATTAGCTACAGGTAAACTGACTAGATCGAGCATGATCGTTTTGTATTTAATGTTAAACGTCATTAGTGGATAGAGTTTGTTTATTCTGTCCTTTTAAAGCTAGCAATAGACTATAGAGTAATCGTTACTTGCATCGTACACTGAAGCCGTCATACAGCATTCCGTTAACGGTTACTGACAAAAACTTAATAAATTCATCTTCCCTGACGTGTAACCGATTACATATACATCGTATCACAGCGATACTGGACTTTTTCATTGAAAAGAATACTTCACTCGAAACAGTAGAAATGCAAATTTGCATTGACTATCGGGATATAATATGTGAAAAAATGATGCAACTGCACGTTCAACATAACTTTATTTTATGGATGAATTTCGTTAAAATAAATAAAAATTTGTAGTGATATTACTTTTAAAATGAGTGAATAACAAGTAAATAGTACAGTTTAATAAAGTGTCAGTCAAAAGTACTTTGATATTTATACCGACATGGGATGTTGAATTGCACTTCTAATTTTGAACAAATTAAAAGAGCAACGTTAAAAACGTTTTCCTTCATCAGTTCGGAATATTTGTACGCAAATTAACACTATCTCCTTAATTTAGAAGACCTTAGTACGCATTACACGTCGGTGCAAAAAACTCGACAATGATATATTACTATAATGCCTGCTGCAGTTCCAGTCCCTGACACCAGATAAGGATAGTTTTTCAGAAAATGTATAATCTATACACGGAATAAAACATCGAAGCCATTTCTATGAGTCTTTGTAGTATTATAAAATTTGTTCACCGGCGTCCTATAATGCTATTAGAAAATAATAATAGCAGCATCTTTCTGACACAAAAACATAATGATAACGATTGTATACAAAGGGAGATACTGTCATATCGCTATCTAACTATCGACGATCGTATGCGTTTATTTTAGCGAGATCACTTGAACAATGACAAATTTAAATTAGAGAGTTAGTTGTTTTTTTTTTTTAGTTAGGAAAAGATGCTCTTTCTCAGAGGAGACAACCAAGAATAACGATATGATCGTAGGTAGAGTACCGATCGACATGACGATTAGAAAGATCTGCGGCATTGGCGCCGGATATGTGGGCGGTCCAACATGTAGCGTGATCGCGCTCAAGTGCCCGGAAATTCAAGTGACCGTTGTGGACAAAAGCAAAGACAGGATCGCCCAGTGGAATTCAGAGAAGCTGCCGATCTACGAGCCCGGTCTTGACGAGGTGGTGCGAAAATGTCGTGGCAACAACCTGTTCTTCTCTACGGACATGGAAACTGCTATCCAGGAAGCTGATTTGATTTTCATCTCGGTGAACACGCCGACGAAAACGTTCGGGAATGGAAAGGGACGAGCAGCTGATCTGAAGTATGTCGAGAGTGCAGCCCGGATGATCGCGGAAATTGCGACCGGCGACAAAATTGTTGTGGAGAAGAGCACTGTACCGGTCAGAGCGGCGGAAAGCATTATGAACATTCTGCGCGCCAATCACAAGCCGGGCGTCTCGTATCAGGTAACATGGAAATTTAGAAACATATCGATTGTTTCGATAGAAATTTCGATTGGTCGTTTCGATGTATTTAACGAAATAGTTCAACGGTTTTTTAAATGTCTTTCTTTCTTCAAGTAAATTGGTTGTTTATATATTGGTGTATCTCCACGTTTTCAATTTTATTATTGTCTTTATATCAAAAGTCGTATCGAAATATAGGCACGTTTTTAATATTAATTGGTGCATTTAGATCGAAAGATGTGCTCGTTAGCAGGTTAAACAACTTAATTATGTTATTACAGAAATATATATTTGTTTTATTATCCATATTTTTCTCAACTGCATCACAAGTTAGTCAGCTCTGAAAAGTATGAAACGATTGATAATATTAATCGTCACATTTCCTACAGATTGTTTGGTGGAAGTTAACGATTGCGATTATTGTTGACTTTATCGAAAGAAGGAAGAGGCGGTTTTGTTTGATTTCGCTTAATTTCATGTTTTGAAATGTCAATTGGTTCGATCGACGTATAAATTCGTTTCTCGGAAATTATTTCTTTTTCATGGTACAGTATACAGGGAAGATTTAACGGTCTCTAAAGTAATAGCTTATAGAACGTCACGTGGCCCGTTTCTAGAGCACGTTGGGCATTATACCAGAAATAAAGATTGAGTAGATACTTTAATGGTCGAAATATTGAAGTGAAACAGAAGCAAAGGAAATTTAGCACGGTTGCTTCTTGCCTGCAATGGGAGTAGTATTATACTGTACTCTTTGGGGCTATTTTTAGGCGCACCGGATATATCTTTTACTGTATGTTGATTAATATTTTTTTTTTCTTCTGCTCGTGGAACGTTAACCACAGTTTTATCGATTCTCGTCGAGTTACTTCAATTATTCACTATCTACGGCAATTAATAAATTACATTTCTGAATAATTCACAAAGTAGAGATATTTACTCGGACTATCTAAGGCAATGAAAATAAGAAAAGTATTCAAAAACGACCCACTAATGAAACCTTGAATTAAAAGCAAACATTTCGACTGAAATTAAGCAAATTGACTAACTTCTAATTACTTCCAACGGTATACCATTCAAGTGTAAACATTTATCGATATTTGTACAGTGATAATTTCGAACACGTACATATAATACGTCCATGCATAGATATTCCATTCTACAAGATTTTTAGTTAAACGTTTTCAGAATATTTCGAAACGATCGTTCTAATAGTACGCCGTGCAAAGAACATTACCGATACCTTCGTCCATTGTTAGCACATGGCCGAGGACCAAAATTACCTGACTTAATACCTGTTGAGTTTATGCTTGTCGCTAGACGTTTCTCTATTCGGCCACGACCCATTCACAACAGATCGTTCATGACCTTTTTTTTCTTTTCTCGGCTAAACCGGCCTTTTTACTATTTGCTGCGCGTCCTTTGATGTCATCAACGCGATTGTATTGGTATCTCGGCGTTACAGGAAAGGCTTTATCACTTTCAGATCCTATCGAATCCAGAATTCCTGGCGGAGGGAACCGCTATCGAGGATCTCGTGAACGCAGATCGCGTTTTAATCGGTGGCGAGGATTCACCGGAAGGACAGGCCGCCATCGAGGAATTATGCAAGGTCTACGAGCACTGGATTCCACGGAAAAATATTTTAACCACGAACACATGGAGCTCGGAATTGTCGAAGCTGGTAGAAAGAAAAAGTGACTCATACGTTAGGAAAAACGAGATATTCTCCACTTAGTTGTTTGCGCAACGTTAATGAATTAAACGAGATTCATTTCACTTTAATATTGTACCTTCTTTTTTTTTTTTTTTTGAATATTCAAAAAGGGAAAGAAACGATGTTTGTCGAATAAATGTAGAGTGACGTTGATAGTATCACGTTCTGCATTTTAAATAACGTTTCGCAATAGCTACGCGGTGTTATAAGTTTATCTTCGAATCAATATTTGCTTCTCGTTAGTCAATCGAAACGAACTGTCGTAATATGTAATTATTCGAATCGATTATGATTTGTTTCAGGCAGCCAATGCCTTTTTGGCGCAACGTATATCGAGCATAAATTCCCTGTCAGCGGTGTGCGAGGCGACCGGCGCGGATGTGTCCGAGGTAGCTCGGGCTGTTGGCCTTGACTCACGAATAGGATCGAAGTTCCTTCACGCGTCGGTCGGCTTTGGTGGATCGTGCTTTCAAAAGGACATTCTAAATCTGGTGTACATTTGCGAATGCCTGAATCTACCTGAGGTCGCCGCCTATTGGCAGCAAGTCATAGACATGAACGAATATCAAAAATCTAGGTTCTCCGCGAAAGTAATCGAGTCCTTGTTCAATACCGTTACGGACAAAAGGATCTCTATGCTGGGCTTCGCCTTCAAGAAAAATACCGGCGACACGCGTGAGTCACCGGCCATTCATGTTGCTAAGACCCTGCTCGACGAGGGTGCCATGCTTCACATATACGATCCCAAGGTGACTTTCTTCAATGAAAATGTCATCGTACACGCTTCACTTGTACACTTCAGTATTTTCTTTTTCTTTTATTCGCCGAGGTGGAGGAGAGTCAAATTATTGAGGATTTAACGCATCCGAGCGTAACGAACGATCCTGAACACGTGAAAAGAAGAATCAGTATTTATAAAGACGCTTACAGTGCCACGAAAGGAACCCACGCTATTGTTTTATGCACCGAGTGGGATGAATTTGTAGTAAGTGATAATTGTAAATTCTGGAAATGGTATTTAAAGTAGTTTCATGGTTAATTATTGTTTTTTCTTTTTATTTCTTTTTAGGAACTGGATTACAAACGAATTTACCTTAACATGATGAAGCCAGCGTATATTTTTGATGGAAGGAAAATTTTAGATCATGATAGGTTGCAAAAGATTGGTTTTATTGTTCAGACTATTGGTAAAAGAATCACAAGGACCATACTCTCTAGAGCATGGGGAAGTCAGACACAAATATAAAGAAACTTGCACAAGTTGTTATGGAAAATTGAGATCGTTTAATTTCGTAAACGGTTTCATTATCACAGGAATGCTTTTAAAATCTTGTAAATGAAGAATGACGGAATTCTGAGGATTATTATTTTTCGTAGTATAATATCGACATGGAAAGATATTGCTTATTATTGTACGAAGAATTTCTTTGTTTAAGAAATATAAAATAGTAAATTAATTTTCAGTTTGTTTAAATTTGTAAAAATGTATATTATTGTATAAAGAATTTCTTTGTTTAAGAAATATAAAATAGTAAATTAATTTTCAGTTTGTTTAAATTTGTAAAAATGTAGGTTTACAAGATTTTGAAAGTTCAAGAATTTTTTACTGAACGTTAAACTATGACTATAAGTGTTCCAATAAATACGCCTTTTTGAGGATATGTGTGTACCTAACACACGCCGATTATCGTAAATTTTTGCAATAACGAAAAGTGTCAGTTAGATCGAATATTTATATAAATTTTTTACATAATTTGATATGTAGCAAACGCATCTGCAGTTTTTATAATTACGACGACACGCTTTGTAGTATTATTCTTACTTTCTGTTAAAGTAAGTTCTAAATGTGATTGTATACTTCTTGATCAAGGGCATTTGTGCGATGGGATAAGATATTCTTTTAATAAGTAAACCGAAATTTTTAACATCACTTTATTTTTGTGCAATATTGTGTATATGAAAGAAATGTTGCAAGTATGTGAGTTCTTGATAATAGTACATTCCTACAAAAAATGTACTTGCTTTTAGCATTTTTGATTATCTGAAGCATTAATATAGTTGTGTTCTGTATGTCCATAGTCCTATTTTGCATTTAGAATGATTTTTTCTATAGTTTTTGACACGACTACAAGTATTAAGTCCTCATTAGATAGTATTTTTACACGTTTAAATAGTTCATTTCTAATGATTCTACTGCTGTTAAAAGTGTAATTAAAACTTTACAAAAGTTATTCTTTGCTTCATTGCAGGGAATATTTTACTTCTTCAACCATTACACATATTTTTTAGTAGTAACATTAGAAATGAATGGAAAAAAATGTAAGCAATAATGTGAATTGGTATACTATTTTAAATGTCATAGATAATATACCATTTATACAAAAAAGATCTTAAAGCGTTAACGAAATATTATACCGTTCACAATAATTTTATAAGAACTGTTTTCATTGTATGTAATTATATGAAATTGGTATAAGTCACAAATTAGTATTCATTTATTCCATACAGCATGATACTTTTACTTTTTTGGTTACATATAAAAGAATTATAAATAAACGTTGATAGATAATTTTGTAATTCAATCTTTTTATTCTCTATCTGTATTAATACATGTACATTCCTTTGACATTCCTTGAGTGAAATACTTTACTCACTATTTTTAGACAAGTATTTCAGTGCTCTGTTCCCTTTAATGTTCAAAAATGGAGAAAAAAATTTCAATCCTACAATTTCTTTACACAGCTAGTAACTGTACTATATATTTTATTGCTTTTGATTTTAATAAGATCTAACATAAATTTAAAACAGTAAATAATATAAATATATTAGAAAGTTGCATTAGAAATAATATTGCATATTAAGCATTTCAATTTTTTTCAAGTTGACGATTAATATTTAAATCGAATAGGTGACAAACATTAGAAACGGTGTGACAGTGATTAATAAAAATCTCGCGATTAACCATGGTGGCGGTACATCGGATTACGGCCCTGTCGCAGAAGAGCGATGGCGCCGTTGAGGGAACTACTGGCTGCAGAAGCAGAGGCAGCAGCAGCGGAGGTGATGGCAGTAGCGGCAGCAGTAGCAACAGCACGAGTCGCTCTGCGTTCGCCGTGAAAATTCGCGAGTCGTCCGCGTGACAGTACTGTGGAGGTTACGGTTAACGAGAGCCGGACGATGATGTCAAAGAGATGGTGCCACGTGATCCGCGCGAGATCGAACCATTCGGCGAAGTGTCAGTGAATCGTTTCGTTTCGCCGTGTTGCGTTTGTCCTTGTCGCGCGAAACCTCTCTTTCTGTTGGCCAACAGGGATAATAGGCCGGGCCTATCAGCACAGTAGGAAAATGGCGGCTCGCCTTGCACGGCGTAGACGACGAGGGGCAACGACGAGGCTCTTCGTGTAACGCGACCGTACGCGAAAAAAAAAGAATAACCTTTCGTTTCCGTTGGTGTTTCGCGGTGCGAAGTGTTTAGTACGCGTTCGATCGTCGCCGCGTGAAGAGAGAGGGAGAGAGAGAGAGAGAGCTATAGAGCGAACGAGTAAACGAACGAGAAAGAGAGAGGGAAAGGGACCTCGTTAGCGCGAATACCACGAGTTTACGAGATGAGAGCGGGACGCGAGGAGGACGAGCGAAGGAAAAACAACGGGAGAAACGAGTAACGAAGAACCACTGTGCGTTCCGTTTGTACACGCGTGTGCGCTCGTATGAGAGCGAGCGGCGATCAACGGTGACAAGTGTTCCGTCGACGGGGAACTTCGCCTTAGCCCCACGTCGACAAGAAGATGATATACCGGGCATCGAGACACCGCCGTGGCTACGTCGACCGCGATCCTCGTGCCGCCGTTTGCTGTCGTCGCCATTGAGCTACGGCCGCTTTCGCGAAAAATCATTTTTTTCGCGAGAGGAACAGTGAGGCCGTGGGACGACGACGACAACCACGACGACGAGGTGGACGAAAAAGCTGAAAGAAGATGAGAGGCGCGTGCGACGGCGGCATAGCGAGCTTTCTCGCTCTGGCGCTCCTCTGTTTATTCCACACGTCATGCCTTGTGGACGGTATGTAATGCTTCTATTGCCCGACAGTCTCTCTCTGTCGCTTATTCGTTTGCTTTTTTTCTTCTCTTTCTATCCTCTTTTCCCTTATTGCTTCTATCTTACTTTCTCTCTCCCTCTCTCTTTCTCTCTACTTCCCCTCTATCGTTGATCTTTCTCTCTACCCATCCGTCTGTCTACCTGTCTGTCATTCTTTCTGCCTTCCGTCCGACCGTTG